GGACTTTACAAAGAAGCTGTCGCTTGAAGAAGTGGAGGCAAGGTTGTCTTATCTTATCTAAAGGTTTCTTGACTTGTAAACCTGGCGAAAATGATGATCAATGATTATTTCATTTCTTAGCCGTCAATGCTTATCCGTTGTTGAAACCATCCATGACTAAGCCCGCATTATAGTCCTTACAAAAGACCTCTTGGATTGGTCAATGTGTGCTTATTGCGAATGATTCTCGAAGCCTCCGACACTAATAATGTGAGGTATACAGAGAGATCATACTATTTCCCACATTAATGGATGTGATCAAATAGCCTTCTTGAGAGTTATGAGAAGCCCTTTCCGACTATGCAGCTCTTGTTTGGCATGTTTAACAAGCCCTTTTCACAAGTTAAGATCATTTTGACAAAAAACTTTCTCCTAAGGGAATTTGATGATTAATGACACTTCTCAAGCCTGATGGCAATCTTGTGATATTGAATGATATTGAATGTTTTCCAAACAATTGAATTTAGTTTGATTCACTCATGCAATCGACACTTTCTCAGTGAATGTATTATTTTGATAGTGTCATTCATGACATTCGAATAACATCAATCTCGCCTGGTATGCTTTCCCTACCAGGGCATCTGTTATAACATATTCCGTTAGATGTGCAGTGGCCATTTCGGAATCTTCTTGATTGATAGGTTTACAGCCTCAGAATTGCACGCCCAGAGTCTTTTTCTTTGCACGGTGAGCTTCTGCAGCCCGGAGCACCCTTTCGACCTGGCAAGCTTTCGCAACCCAAAGTCTTCTTCCTTGCACGGTGAACTTTTGCAGCCCGGAGTTTCCTTTATTTCTCTTGTAAACATCAGGTAAGTATTTTTACCCTCTTTTAAAAAAAAATAAAAAAAAAAGAAAAAGAAAAATGAGGCTTTCACAGGTATGTCTCTGAGCCATGCTCCTTATGTCAAATCCTTTGTGAGAAACTTAGGCACCTCAAGTCCTTCGTAATAAACTTAGGCACAATCAATCAAATCCTCGGGCGAAGAGTCCCGAGTGTTCATTCATTGAGTCTTTTCAAGCCTTATTGGCGAGGATCCACCCGGCAATCCATCAAGTCCTCGGGTACGCTTCCAAGGTTTGTGGTGCAACCTTAAACCACGTTTTCCGAAGGTTTGTGGTCCAACCTTAAACCACGCATCAAAGGTTTGTGGTCCAACCTTAAACCACGCATCAAAGGTTTGTGGTCCAACCTTAAACCACGCTTCAAAGGTTTGTGGTCCAACCTTAAACCACGCATCAAAGGTTTGTGGTCCAACCTTAAACCACGCTTCCAAAGGTTTGTGGTCCAACCTTAAACCACGTTTTCCAAAGGTTTGTGGTCCAACCTTAAACCACGTATCAAGGGTTTGTGGTCCAACCTTAAACCACGCTTCCAAAGGTTTGTGGTCCAACCTTAAACCACGTTTTCCAAAGGTTTGTGGTCCAACCTTAAACCACGTATCAAAGGTTTGTGGTCCAACCTTAAACCACGCTTTCCCAAAGGTTTGTGGTCCAACCTTAAACCACGTTTCCCAAAGGTTTGTGGTCCAACCTTAAACCACGTTTCCCAAAGGTTTGTGGTCCAACCTTAAATCACGCTTCCCAAAGGTTTGTGGTCCAACCTTAAACCACGCTTTCCCAAAGGTTTGTGGTCCAACCTTAAACCACGTTTCCCAAAGGTTTGTGGTCCAACCTTAAACCACGCTTTCCAAAAGGTTTGTGGTGCAACCTTAAACCACGCTTCCAAGGTTTGTGGTCCAACCTTAAACCACGCTTCAAAGGTTTATGGTTCCACCTTAAACCACGATTTCCAAAAGTTTGTGGTCCAACTTTAAACCACACTTTATTCATCTTATTTTATTTTACTTATTTTATTCTCATTTTATTTTGTTTTATTTTATTTTATTTTATTTTATTTTTCTCTTGCGTAAAGCCAACTTTCGCTTGCCTTCCGCTGACAAATTTAGGTGTCTTTTATCTTTGAAGGGAACCTCTTCGAGCTCCCCTTCAAAGAGGGGCAGCTGTTGACACCTAAATTTTGCCTATTCATTTAGGGTTTTATCGCATAAAAATTAGGGTTTAATTTTTTAACCCCTAAACCAAAAATATTTTCTTTAAATTGTATGGCATGTAGACATTAGGCGCATTTGCATTAATAGATTTAGTAAAACATATTTTCTCTTTATTTTACTTCTTTTTTATTTTTATTTATTTAAAAAAATTAAAAAAAATTTAAAAATTGAAAAAAATATTTAAAAAAAAAAAAAGAAAAAAAGAAAAGAGAGAGAAGACAAAGGGGAGCTCTTCCCTGTGACTCTCTCTCTGACACTTGCGAAAAAGAAGAAAAAGGGGGAAGACGACGAAAAAGAGGGGAAAATAAATAAAAAATAGAAAGGAGCAGGGAATGGGGATCCCGGGTCATGTGTCGGGCGGATCGGGTCAGGGGACCCGGTCCGGAATTATTATATTAAAACATTAAAAAATACTAAATAATTCAAAAAAATATTAAAATATTAAAAATTCCAAAAAATTCGAAAATATTTAAAAACCCAAAAAAATATTAAAAGTCTGAAAAACATTAAAAAATTCAGAAAATTAAAAAATATTAAAAAAATTCAGAAAAATTCAAAAAAAAAATCAGAAAATTAGGAGATGTTCAGAAATCAGTTTGGGCTTAATTTCACTAGATTTTAGGTTAAAAACTCAAAACAAAAAAAATGAAAAGAATGAGAAAAAACCCTATAAAAAATTCCCAAAAATCGGATAAGCCATGAGGGCTTTACTTTAGGGCTTTTGATTGCCTTTTCTTTTTAGAGACGATGCTAAGTCACTGGTTGCTTGTTTTCCTTGTGATTATTTGGTTGCGCGTCTTTAAATTATTGGTTGGTATTTTCTATTTTTAGCATGGTTAGACGGAATTTTAGCTTTTTCGATAGGCTGCCTAGTACGTTAATTTGCAAGTAATCAAGTTTAGGTACCGAAATGGCACTAGTAGATCGCTAGTGTAATCAAGTCTCCGTACCCATTGAATCTCTGGTTCGTAGAAGTGAAGCATTCATCCCGTGTTTCATTTGGGTGTCTAATCGGCCCACCAAAATCGATTAGTGGCGACTCCTAGATAAAATTGATTTGCATGTTAACAACTTAAACTTAAGTCGCGAATTGGTATGGGCTTGGGAGAGCTCGAGCTAGGTTTAACTTAGTAATCCATTAGCCAAACCACCTTAGGCGGCGGGGCCGGTTCGGGGAGGTCGCGACACACATCATCTGAACTCCACACAAGTCATGTGTAATCTGCCAAACGCTCACAAAGCTCAACACACCAATTCGAAAATAGACAATCTCATTGATTCACCGATGCACTTGTAATTAAAAACGATTCTCGAGAGAATGAGAATCCTCTCAAAACCTCGGCTCGGATCAATCGGGGAAATCGGACTTCTTTACTTACCTTAAATTGGGATGATCCCAATTATTCTAAAGATATATTAATTATACACACACCCAACCAAATTCACTATATATCAGCCTTCCTAAGCAACAAAAATTAAACATGTTCACCACGTTAATTAGCGCAAGATCAAGCTAAAATTCCAAACTTTCGCAGCTGTCCTACTCCTATTGGGTTAACAAATCCCCGTAGAGGTTAGTTCAAATCTCTCGATTGCTTGTGGGGGTTTCCCAAAATTCAACTTCAACTGTTCTTGATTGCTACATGCTCAACTTCAAGCCAATGAAATCCACACATTTTTTCGAGTGCCGGTGGCACCAACCATCATCTTGTGGTCTTGAATCCACCAAAACCTCCGACTTTCGACGCACCAACTCTGTTCCAATTTTTCCTCTGGTTTGAAACGGGGCCGATTTGACGGATGCTGCCGGTGAACATATATGGTCTTGGCGGAAAGAGGGGACCAGATACTTTTCACAGCCCCTTTTATTTTCTTGCCTATTTCACACTAAGTTAGAACAAGTTAGGATGCCGACTTTGATCTTGATGAATCACAAAGGTGGGAGGAGTTCGAATATTTCTGCACATCGAGGTGGAGGTACAAACTGGGTTGCCGGCTTGGCGACGCAGATATTACTAGGGAGACTATTAGGGGCGAGGTCTTTGTTCCTCCACAGTGGCACCCTCCCGATCTCATTGAATTCGGAACAATTGGGGGCAATCTGCGTACTTATTTGGTTTCTACTCGGCCGACGGACTCTTGTGATTTACGCGTTCCTTTAATAATGAAAAGGATATAAGATGCGGAACAAAGATATCTTCACTCGTCTATTTGTTTTTGAGTTCCAACACTTGAAGACGCCTATCAAGCAATTAAGTAAGAAAACACTAATATTCGCAATGGAGTGGTTTTTCTCGAAACTTGTACAAATAATAATATGAAAACCAAACGGTCCTATTGAATGCCCTTAAAAAAAAGGTTTTGGATAGGCTCATTAACACGACCCTTACGAAGACATCCGTTGGTAAATCACTTTTCTTGAAAAGCTTCAATCAACAAACAAGTTCGTAGCCTATGCTTAACATACGATCCGATATCCTCGAACTACTCGACATCAGAAATACAGTCCGTTCCGCAGGTTCCGTTCTTGCGGGGCAGAAGAATCTAGATCTAACCTTCACTCAGCACGCCACCTTTTCAGGCCGAATCAAGAGGAGAATTAACTTTCGCGACGTTCCCTAATCTTAATTTGGGGTGTGATTAGGATAAAAAGAAAAAGAGGACATAAACTATAGGGAAACTCACCAGGGGATTACATCACACTTCCCCCTCCGTGACATTCGTTCACATGCTAAAACACCGTCCGACCCCCACGTTAATTGCAATCCACTCGTCACCACGAAGCCCGAGACCCCTCCGCGTCTCTCCCCTCTGCAAAACAGAATATAAATATCTTCCCTTCGACGTCAACGACGTTGTCTTGTGCTGTACTCTGCAACCCTCGCGCACGCCCCCCACCTCACTCTCTCTCTCTCTGTCTCTCTCTGTCTCCGCCTCCTGCGTCCCCCAAGCTTGAAACTTTGGTAAAGCCCAAGATTCTGAGGCCGTCGGAGGGGCGCGTGACGGGAAGAAGAAGAAGAAGAAGAAGAAAAGAGAACTCGTGGGAGCAGATTTGTGATGACGGGTGGGTTGGTGGTGGAGGATGCGTTCCGTTGCGAGGAGGAGACGCACCTCACGGTGATGAAGACGTCCCTGTTCTTCGCCGGCGACGGGTTCGCGGCGTACGACTCCAAGGGGGTGCTCGTGTTCCGGGTCGACTCGTACGGGCCCGACGCCCGCGACACGGGGGAGGTCGTCCTCATGGACGCTCACGGCCGGTGCCTCCTCACCGTCCGGCGCAAGGTAAATACCGACTCCTTACCCGGGCTCTGCAATCGATTCGCCTCGTCCTTGTCGAGATAATCGGCTGGGTTTCTTGAAATCAGTCGGGTCGAATGTCGATCGGAAAAGGCAAGATTTTTGGTGGTGATTGTGCTCCCCCCAATCTGACTCCCCTGGCACGGGCAAATCTGAGTTGACTTGGACGTTCTTTTCTATTTCTGGGTCGCTCCGATGACTCGGTGCGGCGGCTCAGACTAGGGAAGCGGTGGTCCGGCGGTAACGATCCGAGTCAACTCGGAGATTTTTCAATTCATTTTTAGGATTTTCTTCTCTAGGAACCGGGTCACTTCGAGATACATTCTGCTTCATTATGCTAGAAACACCCGGAACAAGATCTGTACACGTACCGAGTCAATGATGTGTTGTGGGGGTCTGAACAGTTTGAGCTTCCGGTGATTTCTTTCTGTCTCTTCCGCGGAAGTTAGAATTGAATAATCAAATGTGGGTCTCGAGTTGTCTTCTGATTTGATTTCGATAGATTTCGGATTCTTTACGAATTCTACGTAGAAATGAAACAGATTGAGGTTACTGAAAGTCGTATGTCGAACTCTTTTCATAGTTCTTTAAAAGATTGCTTGACGGTGCAATTGACCCAAGAAAAGCTTGTCTACCGAAAACGGAAGTTCACGGATGGCGCTTGTGTTTTGACTTGTTTGTATCTGTCTTGTGTGGTGAGAAAAACAGAGACCGAGTTTGCATCAGCGGTGGGAAGGATTCTACGGGGAGGGGACGGCCGGCCAGAAGCCGATCTTCAGCGTGCGGAGGTCGTCGATCATCGGCTACTCGGGCGTGACGGTGGAGGTGTACGGCAGCCCCGGGGAGGAGTACCACATCGAGGGGTCCTTCGCGCAGCGCAACTGCACCATCTTCAACATGGACCGGGAGCCGGTGGCGGAGATCCGGCGCAAGGTCGACGCCTCCACCAACGTGGTGCTCGGCAAGGACGTCTTCTCCCTCTGCGTGAAGCCGGGGTTCGACGGCGCGTTCGCCATGGGATTGGTCCTCGTCCTCGACCGGATCACCGGTGACGCCACCGATGACGTCGTCACCGGCGAAGGCGAGGACCCCGTCCCGGATACCGGGTCGGATGGTTAGGACCCGAAATGCTTGTCTAGTTTCTATCACGGCGGGTCGACGATGGTGATTTTCCATGTGATAAGGTTGTGATTTTGGCCGGTCCATGTTATATTTCTTGGAATAGTGGGGCCTAGACGTAGATATTTTGGGAATAATGTAATTTCCGTGGAATTTGGAGCTTATGGCTTTGTCTCTTAATGGGGAACTACTTCTTCTTCTTCTTCTTCTTCTTCCTTGCCTTGAATATTAATTCCTTTTGGTTATGCAATGTTTAGTTATAATCTTAGATTAAGAACAAGTCATTTTCAATGAGGTCGTAAGATTTGGTGACCAGAATTGACTAGATTAATTTCCATCGTTCTTCAGTTATGGAGAAGATGTGTGCAACACAATTTCACTTTTTTTTAGAGAATAAAGAAGTGATCTAGCACGTGCTTCGGGGAGTGTTGAATCATTGCATCATTTGGGATGACGGGTTCTTGAGAAAGGCTATGCTCCTCTTGAAAAGAAATCAATAATGTAATATTAAATTTATGAAAATTGTTTATTTAAGATTTAGAATGACGAGTTTTCGAGAGAGAATAAGCTTCTCTTAAAAAGCTAGATATCAATAATTGTTGCATGGTTGTTTATAATTTGTTGTTTATTTAAGATTTAGAATTTGTTGTTCCGTGAAAGTTATATGGACAGCTGAAATCATTAACGACATTGATTTCCCCTTTTTAATACTCTCTTCCACTTTGAATTCATTGTCCTAAACAAAAGGAAGTGTCATTTTCATCCCTTTGCTCTCTACCCCTCCTAATTTTCCTTGCATTCCTCCTTCCAAAACGAAGCAAAGACAAAAGAATACATCGAGACGACTAGGAAGATTATGATTAAGCTTGGACCCATGTACATTATAAAACAAGTTATTATATTGAGCATTATAAGCCGCAAATCTAATGAGTTTTTCAATGCCCATTTATATGAAATTCACCTCACTTTAAAACCTCCATTCAAGACTCTAATGAACACATAAAAAGTTCTGCAAACCATCGTATTGATATTTAGGGCGCGAATGAGAATCATTTTGTTTCTCTGTTTTTTTTTATTTTATTTTCGGGAACAAGTTTGTAACAGAAATCCGTTTGTTAAAATAATTTCATTTTTTTTTTAATTTATGGGATAAATTTTGGCCCAGGAATAGATTTGGAACAGAAATGAGAAGTTAAAATTTTTTGCTTTTCTACCTCTGGAACAGAAATAAAAATAATAACTCTCTTTTATTATTTACACTTGCCATCCACCGCTGCCCACTCGCCGCTAGCCGCTGGCCGTCTGCCGCCACCGCCCTTCGACCGGTCATCCACTGCTGCTCGCTGGCCACCCACCTATCGCTCCTCGGCCTTTTGCAGTCGCCATTCGCCCCCAGTGCCGATCGCTCGCTGCTCGCCGCCACTGCCACTCGCAAGGCTGGCAGGAATAGAAATTTTGTTTCATTATCAAACGAATTTCTATTTCGGCAACAGAAATTTTATGTCATTATCAAACACTGCTTTTTGTTAGAAACTCGTCTAGAAAAGAGAAATAGATTTTTTAATTTCTAGCTAGAAATATGGCCAGGGAAGAGAAATGTTTTCATTCGCGCCCTTAGTTCACATGAAAAGTTTTATCATCAAGACTTTACTTTCACTTTCCGCACCAACAACAAACTGATTTAAAACCAGGGAGTCGTGGTTTGATTTTTTTTTTGGTCAAAAGAAAGATTTCATTTATGTTGCAGAATAATATTCGAGAGGTACATAGAAGGCTTTCAAGCCGATCAAGTCCCAAATAGTTGCGGAATAAAGCAAATGCCAGAATGCAAATAACAAAGTACAGTCTGCAACTAGAAGCACACTCTTATCCCTTAAGAACAAATTTGCAACTGTAAAGGTTCGACAGCCGATCACTAGATTCAGTAATGAGCACACACCAAAATCTTCCACTCCATGTGCAATGGCTTGGGGTGCGTGTCTAGGTTTAATGTCCTCATCGCCGTGCATAGACACCAACATCAATATGTTGAAAAATACAGATCAAATACCTGTAAGGAACTCCTAAATCTATATTTAAATCTAGTTTAGGAGAGTAAAGGCCTCAGATCTAGATTTAAATCTAAATTGGGAGAAGAGAGTAGCATAATCTCAAAGAGGTTGTCAAGCCACGTCACAAACATCATTGTGAACAATCTTGTCTTGTGCTTGTCTCTTCTAGCATTGCGCTTTCGGCTTTCCCAAGGCTATCATTTGGCCGAAAGCTTCCTAGGAAGGCTTACCAAACACCCAAATATTTCCCCAAAATGTTTTAGAAGCCGAAAACTCCCTGAGAAAGTTAAACCAAACGCATCTTAATTAGGCTATTAACTTCAGCCCACATAAGGAAGAGTTTTTGGGAGGTGAGGGGATTTGCCGACAGAAAGAGAAAAGAACGAAATCCATATGCGGTTCGAAATTGAAGTTGTGGTTTTCGAACTCGATTACCTAAAGTGGATTCTAGATCTGATCCTAATTCGCTTTGCTTCATTTTGGGTCAAGCCGGACATGTCAAGCTGGCAAGAATACAAGTAGTGCACCATGTTCTGATAAGATTCCATCCTCAAAAGAGTTATGTTGGGGAAATCTTTTGGCAGGACCGGACAGATTCTCTCGTTCTTATATTGAGCAAGGAAAGCCTATCTTTTGAGCCCAATATCACGTTCTTGATCTCGATATCCAGTCCCATTCGGACACTAGTCATGCTCTCAACCCAAGATCAGTGTTGCTCCGACACGCACGCTAGCATACTAATGAGTCAAAGGAAGTGACAAAAGGCAAACAATGCATCTTTGAAGAGCAAAGATGAAGTGCCTCTTTTGCCATTCCATGGTCCTGATTCCAATCCTAACCTTAAGATTGTGGGAACAAGTATTCCTAATTTCGTCGGGGGGTGAATCTTTACATTCATCCAGAAAAAAGAAAATGGACGAAAATCATTTGTAATTGTGTACGTGCAAAGGAGTATCGTAATAACAAGAGATGAATAAACATCACGTTTTCATATGAATGCATTGTCTTTATCCTGGCTGGGCCTCAATGAATCAAATTTATTAGGAAGTTGTCCAAGCTTGACCCTTTTAACTATTTACATCGAGTTGGAGTTGTTCAAATAGCAGATTCGACCTTCACAAAACTTGAATTTTTCTCGAGCTTAATTGAGTAGCGAACTTTGTACATCTTATATATTTTAGGTACATCTAAAGCATAATGATATCGAGTTGGAGTTCTTCAAATAGCGAATTCAACCTTTACAAAACTTGACTTTTTCTCGAGCTTAATCAATTAGCGAACTTTTTACGTCTTATATCTGTTAGGTACATCTAAAGCATAATGATTTGCAGATGACATGCTCTGTGTTTTTTCAAGTCAAGCCAGCCAATAGGATAAGTTGCTTCATACGGCCCATCCGCCCATCCATTGTTTGTGCAGGCTTGGTTGGTTGGTCATGGCTTGTTAGGCCCAGCCCAGCCCGGATATTAGTTCATTGAGGGGGCCTGGTCTGAAAATTTGGCTCCCATTAGAGTCCCAACAAAACCCACCAGCCCGCTCAGGCCCGTCTAAAATCGACACCCTCATGTATAATCTCGTACTTTTGTTTCCTTTCACGTATCATGGACAGGCTCGGACGAGCCTGTTTAGCCCTGAAAAGACCCGTCAAACGGATGGGTCAAATCGAATTTGGGTCATGTCGAAAATGGTTAGATCCAAATTGACCAATTTAACTCGTTTTCGAAGAAATGCAAATCTAGTGACTCGTATTCATCCCGAACGGTACTTGACCCGACCCATTTGATAAAATACTTTCATATATAACTCAATTTATGAAAACTCATACTGAATTTATTTATGAACCCATTTGACACTCGTATTATTTTGAATTTCACCATTTTGAATTTATTTATAACTCATTTAGTAAATATAACTATCTCATTTAATAACTCAGTCTATCAAATATGGATTAAGAAATGGATTTATAACCCATTTTGACAGGTTTAGGCCCAAACCTAGGCCCGGCCCCATTTGATTTGGACATTGGGTCAATTGATCTTTTTCTAGGAGTGATCGGTTCTCGGTCTGGTCTAGTCCCCCATGAACCAGGAACTAGACTAGAGGGACCAATTCCCAGTTTCCGGAACCAGGGACAAGACCGGAGGTCCTTGGAACCGCACTAGATCGGTTCGGTCTAGTTCTCGGGCAATCTAGTGAAATCGGTCATTTTAAACACTTTGTTTTGCAGTGAAATTTCACACTTGAAGAAAATAAGTCTGTTCAAAACATAACCACCATATTCTCATCTCATTGTGAACACTTTGAAATGGTATAAAACAAAAATCTCACGTTACCCGAATAAATTTCCCTCATAAATGAGGATCTTGCCTGCATCGCTTGTATCTGAACTACATTATAATCAATAAGCTTACTCTAATTGAATGCATAATTTGGTCAAGAGGAGGCGTGAGCATTATGGATGAATTCGGAAAGATCGAAAGAGGAGAGCGAGAGGAGGCGTGCGTGAAGATTATTAGGTTTACATTTAATAAATAAAATAAATAATCGGTTCAGTTTGATCTGATTCCCCCCTTGGAACCACTAACCGGATCGCCTAGACACCAGTTCCACTTTTAGTAACCGAAAACCGAATTAGCATCCCTGGAAACTAGACCGGTTCGGTCTAGGAGGTTCCCGGTTCGGTAGATCAATCTTGCTCACCCCTAATCTTTTCTGAGGTTGTAGTGTGAGCTCCGCTCGGCGCATCAAACAGCAAGAGAGCCTATGACGTCTCGAGTATCTCAAGAGTACGTCATACCATCCGTTCAACCCGACCATCTTGTCATTCGCCAAATCGTTGTTAATACACGTACTTCCTTTGAAAACGTGACATATTCTCATAGAAATATTAACTTTGGGTGGTTGGCATAGAAAAATATCTCCGGTGACGGTGGCTGCTCCGGTAGGTCGAGGTAGCGCATCAGTCTTCCGAGCTGAGCGTGTGGTTTGAATTGAAACACTGCATCACGTCGACGTTGCTCGATGCAAGAATTGGGTTTTGATTTCTCAAGCGGCGAAATTGTTTATGTGCAACATATGTAATTATTTATAGTTTCCAATTTCATGAAGGGGGCGGGAGGTCGTCCAGTCAACGTTAGGTGGATCAAATCGGTGACTCG